GTGAAAGAAGCGGCATATGATAGGGCAGTTCCTTATGCGTTTTCTTTCTTTTGTGCTTTTTTCTTTTTCTGTTTTTGCGGGTGAAGCCGCAACGGGTCATCTAGTTAGGGATTAAAGTAATTAAGAAATTAACTAATATTCTAGGTAGCATGGGTTATCTGGCCGGATAATCTGGTCGGATTATCTGGCCGGATGATCGGGGGGTAGGATCATTCGGAAATCCGGATGATTAAAAAAAGGGTCTAAAAAATGCAAAAAAAAAAAAAAAAAAAAAGTGATATTGCGCATGCAAAATACAATAGAACTATGTTCCTATTTCATAAAAAGCTGGATAGGGCCTGAAAGGGTTCAAAGCATGGCTACGATCCGGACGTCCAGACCGCCGTCCGGACGGTCTGGATTCAGTCCGGAATCCAGACGTCCGGTCTGGAAGGTCCGGGTCTGGCAAATTTGGAGAAAAAAAAACAAAACAAAAACGGCCCAGGACCCTTCCCCATTGAGGAGCCAAGCCCCCAAAATTGTTTTGGGGGGGTTTCAGGCCCGTTTATGCTTTTTTGGGGGGTGCGGACATGCTCTCTCTCTATAGTAATTTATTAGACAACCCCAATTTTTTAATTATTAATAATTCATTACCTTTTATTAGTTTTTAAAGTCATTTTTTCAGCTTTTGTGAGGATTGAGCCCTCAAGTTGGGGCCTTGCCATGATGTACATGTTCTGGGCTAAGGCCCCATCAAGCCTCGTGCCCGCCCTAAGTGAAGGCGGGCCAGCAAATCAACAAGAGCTCTCTGTGCCAACATTTCACGAAGTGGGGGCCATACAGTTGCAGCACGCCAGTTGGTTGGAGTGCACCGAGTCTCGGATTTCAGCAAATGCTGAGAACCCAGGGCCTCTGAGTTAGTTAGGCCCTGGGTACTTGAATGTGAGGCCGACAATGCATGCTGGGTATAGAGGCCGAAAATGCCAAAGGGAAATCGGCCCACTATCTGAATCTGGCCGCAGGCCTTGACGAAAGAGGTGCAACTGCATCCCCCGGGCCTCAACTGTATCGGCCTGGGTTCAGCCTCTGAGTCCCGGTCGCAGGCTGAAGGGAAGCCGCCCACACGCTGCACTGGCATATAGGCAAGCAGGGCGAGTGGGCAGGGATCTTGGCCAATGCAGGCATTGCGGGCACGCTGCGCAAATGCATGTGTGCTGCGCTGTGCATGAGCTGCGCTGCGCTAAGGTGAAGCAGGCTAGCGCTAGGCGGTAGGGCACTGCCTGCATGCATGGCACTGGAGGCCATAGCCGGGCCGCATGAAGGTGCAGGAGAGGTGAAGGGCGAAGGTGGTCTTCGGAGGTGAAGGGCGCTGTGTGGGTACAAGGGAGAGTGTGGGTGAAGAGGACACGTACCTGGTGGAGGTGGAGGTCGGCATTGGTGTTGACATCATCACTCGCTGGTAATCAAGTTGTCTGGTTGCTTTCATTGCTGTAGTTGTAGGCTTAGTCTGTAGAGTAGATAGGGCGCCTGGCGCCATTCATGAGAGAGAGATACATTGGGTCATGCTGTTGGTGTTGCCCTGTAGGGCATGGACATTGACTCACGATTCTTCTGTATCATTCTCAATTGGATGGTTACTCGGTTCCATTGTGCTATCTGGACATTGACTCACGATTCTTCTGTATCATTCTCAATTGGATGGTTACTCGGTTCCATTGTGCTATCTGCTTTGGCTTTGACTACTTGGACTTCAGTGTGATTTTGCATTCTGGATTTCTGTGCTTCGTCCATATTCATGTTCCTTGCA